CTGCTGCTGCTGCTTTGGTGGTGGTTGTTGCATTGTCTGTTTCACTTGTTGCTGTTGTACCTGCTTCTGCTGCATTTGCTGTTTGTTCATCTGCTCAGAAACATTTGATACTTGCCCGTGAGTCTTACTCTTTTCTTTGATGTGACTGTCGCTGCTGCTGCTGCCAATGAGTACAAGGCCTGGTCGGCTGGGATGCACACTACGAACTATATTAGGAGTTAGTTGGGTTTTAGACGCTGACTGGCGATCCGGCTCTGGATTTTTCAAAGGAAGGGTTTTAGTGACTTCTGCTTTAAGAGGTCTTATGTCTGTGTCTGTCTTCGGCAGAGAGAAACCTTTGAAGATTTCTTGAGATGACTGGTTTGGTTGGGTGTGCAGTTGTTTAGCTGGATCGCTGCTTCGCATTGAGCCATGACTGGTAAAAGAGCTGCCTTGATCACGGGAAGAAACCAAGGTGCTGTTTTTCACCTCTGTCATACTTTTTTGCAGTGGTTCTCGACTGTGACCGCTACTATCATAGGAGTCCATCAGCAGCGTACCTCCACTTCCACCACTACTGGCTCCACTGCTGCTCCTTCCAATTTCATCCCCAAAGCTCCCAGTATATTTTCCAGTATGTCCATAATCAATCACTTTATTTGGTTGGACAATAGGTGACAATTCATCCTGACGCATCCCTTCCCCTCTTGAAGTACTCAACCTTTCCCTTCCACTCATACTTGTGGTGGAATGAGGATCATAGTAGGATTTTGATGGACCTGCTGTTGCAGATCTCTTTGCCTTTTCCATGCGGATTTGTCGTAAGATAAAAGGCAGGTTGTCAGGAGTCATCTGATCTTCGGGGTATGAGATCAGATGTTCCAGGTCCTCTTTTTCAAGTCCAAACTGCATAAGGATGTTCACAGCTGTTTCCGAAGTGTACTTGGGACGAGTAGACTCTGCAGAGCCCACAGGTTTGTCTGGCACTGGGTAGTCATAATCACCTAAGCCTGGAATGGATTGCACATTGCGCTCTCTTTCATTCGAGGCATTAAACCTACCGTCACCAGTGCTTTGATAGCTCAATGAAGCAGATGATGAACAGTATTTAGACGAATCATCCTCAGTTTCCCGTTTGTAGCTTGGCAACCAGTCCATGGAGCTAGTGCTACTTGCAACATCAGGTGGTCTTTGAGAGGTTGAAGACAACATGTAGGAAGTCACATCTTTGCTTGAAGAATGATACTCATCTCTTTGAGTAAGATGACTGCTCTTGTCTACAGGCTGATTTCTCACCTCCTCTCTGGCTCTGCTTATATGCATGTCTATGGACCTCTTTATGTCCTCTTCCATTGAAGTCTTACTCCCTTCTGGCCTGTAGCTCATTATTCCCCCAGGTTTTGCAGGAGTCGCAGATGAAACTCCGGAAGAGCTAAAGCTGGACCCAGGCCCAAGATGAGGAGATGTCTTATGAGAGTCTCTCTCTGCCTGCATACCTGACTGTCCATAGCGCCCCTGGGCTGAGCTTTGTTTCCCAGAGGCATAGGGGTTATATGAGGGATGGGACATGGTGTTAGCAACCTTCAGAAGGTTTAGTAGACTGATGGCTGCAGCTGTCGGGCAGGGGGGTGTTGTGGGTATAAATGGGGCAGGTGTGTTGGTTCGGCCATCAACAGCAATAGCGTTATTTATCTGTGTCAACGCAAGGTGGGCTTTCAGCTAAGCCAGCCGCAAGCATGCAGCTTGCTGTCCGATCAGTAAAAAGCTCCCTGGGAGCTCACTCAGTAGGGGGCTCTGTTGGGGCCCTGGTGCAGGAGAAGGGGTGTAACGCTTCAATGACAATGGAAAGCTGGAAAGTTAAAAATAAAGAAAACAAAGAATAAAGGTTAATGAGTTGTACTGGGCCTCAGAATCTTGGAAAGATGAAATCCATCGTCCGGGAGGCCTTTTCTTAATTTGCAGACTCTGCTTCCCGAGGATTCATTCATTCATACGGATTCATTCTGTTAGTATCATCTTCAGGTCTTCACTAGTAAGAAGGAAAGGTGGAAACAAAAGCATCAAAAACAGAGAAACAGAGAAAACAAGAGATTTAAACAATAGAGACACAGGAGACAACAACAACAATAAAATAGAAAGGATGTGTTAATCTTAGAAGAATAAGGTTAATAGATCTTCCAAAGCAGCTTATCTTATCCTCCTCTATCCTTTGCATGTCCCTGATTTGTGGATAGAAACACAGAACATACACTCTAGTCGTCCAACGTCCAGATGTTTCTAACAAGACCCATGATTAGTACCCAATAAGGTCAAACTAACATATGCACACAACTTCGAAAATTTTGCTACACGGGTGTGGTTTTTTATTATGACGATCTCCAAGTCCAGTCCACAAGTTGCAGTGCTGTGCTGGGTAGGCAGCATTCAGAAGAGAGACGACATATGGCTTGGAAAGTTGGTGAAGGAAGCTGGATCTGCTGTTGACTTTCTGGTAATGACAGCACACAGATGGACCTCAACCGGTGCAAACTGCCATTGTCATGAACACATCCTCCTACCCCCTAAACATGATCGCAATAAACCAAAGGAGCATGCTCAGTGGCAGGTTGGTGGCATAGAGCAGCTTATGATGATCTTCTGTCTCCTCAGGGGACATGATTAGACTCCTCCACTCATCTTGAATTGCAGCAGATAAGGGACTAAAGTTGAGTATAATAATTGATGCTCTGTTGTCCGCTTGCACTTAATTTAACTGGTTATATTAGCTCTTTGCACTTTCAGTGACTTTAGTGTCACTGTAAAATCATTTTGCACCGTGGAATAATTTAATTAATCCGTACACTATCTGTGCAGACCTTGTACCTGATCATTATGCAAGTACTTTTTACAAACTTTTCACATATGCAACAGGTTATGTTTCGAGAAGTGCAGTAAAAGCGTCCCAACAATTCTTACATTAAACAACAGCAACAGTGAGAGAAAGCATTGTCACGAATGAAAACCAATGACAATTTTTTGAAAACCTTTGCAAACCTCCAAAGGAAAGTAGTTGGTAAAACTGCAGCTACAAACTACTGAACGTTTGCTGTTTGCTCCCTTTGTGCTACGATGGCTCTCTAATTTTAGGGACAAACTGTTATCCAGTGCAAAACTGGACTGGTGCATGTCTTCTATATAGATCCTTGCTACCAAAGTCATCAATGATGACATCAATGATGACATCAATGCCAA